TTATCATAAGCTAACTTACTTCACCATTATTTCCAACGTTTGCAGATACGACGAAGAAAAAAAATGCCGCTAGTGATTGACAAAGGCAAATTAGACAGCCTTGTAAAAGCTGAAACATAGTAAAGTTATTTTTATTATTAAAAAATATATAATTTTGCATACAAAAGAAAAAACATGTGTTTGATAGTTACAAAAGTGTTCTGTTAAACGGCTTATTAATAACTTATATTTGAAGTGTTTTATGTCCACATGTTGTCATTTGGTACAGTAACACTAAAAAAAAAAAAAACGACTAATTATATGCTAATTATACAAAATTTGTATTAATTAAAGCCAGATAACAAACAATTTGGTGGGTTATCTTTAGTCACAATTCTACGAGCTTTAAAAGTAAAAAGTAATTTTTTTAAATACTTTTTTTCGTCAATTGATAGCATTTTATTATACCTAACATAACAGAAAAAATATCTTTTTCTTTCACAGATTATTTGTAATTATTGTCTACGCACAAAAGGAGATGAAAACAACGGCAGTGAAAGAAAAATATCTAGACTAAAATGACATTAACAAAACAAATTGTCTAATACCAGTTGTGCTTCACGACCACTTGGTCTCTTCCTGTTGCCACTCATACTCTTCTTCAACTTTACAGAGATCACGACAGCTACATATCCAAGAAGCATAATGACCACTAAAGCTTGACAGAGCCACATCAAAATATCTACCAAGGAAACACCGGTAAACAAATCACATGTACCACACTCGTATGTAAAACGAAACATATACGGACTAAACCTAAAAACAAAAAAATCATGCATAAAAATTAAGTAAAATATTTATTGTTCTGCAGTTTGGTGTAGTATCTTGAACTTCAGTAAAAACTGGTAAATTTTTTCTAAATGCTAAAGTTACTTCTATTAAATTGCTTCACAATCAGTGAAAGATTCAGGTTTTCAGGTAAAGTCGCAACACCTTAGGTTAAAAGATTACATTTTTTTGTAAAAAATATTAATAAACGCTTAAAAAGGTTAAAGCTGTTTTTGATTCAAACTCTCTCTTAATATTGCTTGTAAAAAAGAAAATAGAAGGTGATTCTTAACTGAATAGATTAGAAATAGTAAAATTTTCACTTTTATTTGCTGATTTCTTAACGAGTCAGTTTTGATTGCTTATTTTCGGTTATAATTATCAGTTGCTAAAAGCAGCTTTTCAAAATTCTATTGTAGCTGGTGAGCCATCAATTAAAATTTGTAGTGATTTCTTGTTTTTAGAAGATTATCAATATTTTTGCATAAGTACAGTATAATACGTTTAGCTTAAACCTCGAAGAAGAAAAGTTTTAAAAACCAGCAACTGTATATTAAATTCAGATTTACAAATAGGTTGAAAAGGTTATCGCTAATTGTCTGCAGTAACAGTACAAAAGAAAAAAAACTGAGAATTGAGTTAATGAAGCAGACTGCAGTAGTTGTATAAAGCTTTTACATTCCAATCTCTACCTGATTTGTTTGTAATTTACCTTTTTAACTTTACAAAATGCTTAATCTTCTATGAAAAAAAAATTTTTTTTTTAATTTATAGACAATGCCAATATCGCTTTTCAATTGCTGTGTAAACTTTTATACAGTCAAAAACTTTTATTGGTGACGATATGTTTCTATAATTAGCCAGATTAAACTACAACATAAGTGCTTTCAAAAATAACTGTTCTGAGACCAAAATTATACTTCGTTTTTCAAAAGCACTATCAGATGTTATGCTGTCATTGTACTGCCAAGCGTTCTCATTTATAATTTTTAACCTTAGACTAATCATAGTAACAATCAACTCGTTTTTGTATAGAAGAAAATAATTTGCAGCTAAGCATAGGCTATTAGCTGTACAAAAGTACTATTTTTATAACATAATTCAATTAACAAATTTACTGCAAATTATTTATAATTACACTTGTAAAAGTCTTTTGCAGTAAAGTTATTGGTAAGTTTAAGATTTTTTTTACTAGTCGCATTTCTTTTTTTGAAATTTAACTACAAATTAATTCACTTTTTTTTCTTACTCCCTCAAAATTAATTTAATAGTAGTTGCTCTTTTCGTTTATTTGATAATATTTCAAAAAACTTTTTTGGTAGATTCTATAAGTTAAAAAAAAAAAATTTATTTTACCATTTATAACAACCAATTGCATTGGTAATCGCAACAATAGCAATACCAAGAACAACTGCTGAACTGCAATAAAGAATCGTATAGTGTTCAATAAAACGGTGTACAGAAAAAAGTAAGAACATAGAAATTCGCTCAACTGCAATAAGGCAGTTAATGAACAATGCTGTATAGAAGCCGAATGTATCTGGCAAGGATAAAATGATTAAAACTGTAGTCGAATAAAATTCACATGAACAATAAGTACATGGTAACATAGCGGTAATGGCAGGAAAAAGATAGAATAGTTGAGTAAAGTGTAAATAAATAAGCAGTTTATAAATTGGTAATTTACTATTTCTAAGTATTATCCGTAGAGTCAGTGTTGCAACTATCAGTAGGAAAAGTGAAAATAATATTGCAATAGCACATAAGACAGTAAACATAATACGGTATTCTTTATGGATATAAAGTATGGTAACACATTGGTCATTGTCGCTGTAGCTAACCGTCATTATTCAGATAAATAACGGCAAAAAAAAGAATGCTTTCTCTTTTCTAAATGATTTTTTTCAATTTTTTTGACACTTTTATCAGTAGTCAGTAAGTAATCAGAACTGAAAAATACAAGAAAAAAGAAAAGGACTGCTCACGAAAGAGCGAACATGTCAGAAGTGAAGCAACGTGCAGTCAATGTGAACATAGAATATTATAGTAGATAAAATTTGTCGATTTGAAGAGCATCATTTAAAGCTTGACGTCCTGAAATTCTACTGAAAAAAGCCAACATTTATTGAATAATTTTAAAAGATTTACATATTCTGGATGACTCAATGTACCAAATAAAATAGCAGTTACATATTTTATTGTTTCGCATATGAAAAGCTTCCTTCTTGACTGTCGATGATCGCAAATGAACAAAATATCAATAACTCATCAATACGGCATTATTAATATTATCTGTTTAGATTGTAAATCAGATAAATATCAACCAAAAAACAGTTACCATAAAACAATATTTATTAATTAGTTTTCTTTAAGATAACAATTAGCTTCAAATTGTATTTTCAGCAATAGATAAACCGACAAATACGTATAATAAAATAATTTTTTAACAAATTTTTTATGTTATAGGCAACTTAGATTGTTTAATAATTCTGTTCATTTATACTCTAAAAAAAAAATTTTTGTGAAATACAGCAATTTTTTCTTTTGATTACTATACATATCGAATAACAGAAAAAAAAAAAACTCTAGAAATTGAATAAAGAGATAATGATGTATTATCGTCGTTCAGCTGCTTAAATCAGTAGTAAACGCTCTGTAAAATTGGTGTTTGTCGACTAGAAATTATTCAGGATATATCTGAACAAATGAAATATTTTTTGGCAAATCAGTAATATGAAAGTCTGATAATGGTAATTTGAACTATTGTCTTGATACTGATTTTGATCAGTACTATTTCTCAGTAATTTTTTACAAAAAATGTAACGTTTTTTGTTTTATCAGTTGTACAGATAAAAATATCTCTAAAGAAAGAAAAAAAAAATCGTTTTATACTCGTTTTAAAAATTTAAAAATCACTGAATATCAAAGCAACAAATTGTAAAACGCTCAATAATCAATTTCATTTGATGTTAAGAGTCATTTGAATTGAAATTTTTATTTAAGAATTAATAAAAAAGTAGAGAAAACTATAAACAACAACAAAATTATTCTTATAACTTACTTTAAAAGACACTTTTTCCGGTAAAAAAATGTTGTTTTTGCAAGTTATTTTATGAATTTTATAAAACATAAATAAGATAAATTAGGTTTAACGAAAGAAAAAAAGACGAGGAATTATTGTGCTAAGCCAATTATTTGGTTAAATGACTCAAAAAGTCGTCACTGATTAAAGTTGTCTAAAAATCTTTGGTTACATCGCTGATGATTGAAATAATTTTTAACTGAAGCGTGGGTAAAATGGCAGCTTCTGCAAAGCTGTTAGGAATTTCTGCATAACCGCCTATTAATCAGAGCAAAATCTGTATACCAAAGGAAAAAAAGCAGTCTTATTTGTAGAAATTTATTAGCAAGATCATCAAGATCACCAAATATTTAATTTAGAAGTTTCCTACTTTTATTTTTTTCTAAACAAATTTGAGAGCAAATCTGTTCTACCAAAAAACGGAAACTAATAGAACGGCAATGATCTGCTAAACGTTATCTGAGTTTTAAACCCACGCCAAAAGTTTTCAAAATAATCCAACGTATTTCATCTGCTAACTTCTAATACATTTCTGTGACGACATTTAAGAAAAAAAAAGGTCAAAAAAGAAAAAAGTAAAATAATTTTCATAAAATAACTTATTTAAGGAGGCATAGTCGGTTGTTGCTTTTGTTTGCCATATTTTAACAGTGTTTGAGAAGCTGTTTAGAATTTTTAAGAACGGCACTAAATAGCACATGACTTTGATTCATCAGTAATCACTATTATTTTTTCGTTTGTTTGACAGCAGAAATGACAAATGTAAAGTTCAAAAATTTCTTAAATAAGAGAAGAAATTTTTAAACAAAAATTTTTATGAAATATATATTATTATCAGCAGTTTAATATTACTTTTTTTTCCGCTTTTTAATTTCCTTTTATTGTAGCTTTTTTTTAGTTTTTGCTTTGAGATTCCAGAAGTGACGTCTAAATTTAGTCCTATCAGGTTTATTTTCATCTGCTATAATATTGCAATAAAAAAAAAAGTCATTTAAATAGGGAAATACCCTCATGAAGCCAATAAATATTTTTGCCACTTAGATTTTAGCACTTTATTCAAGCACGCTATGTACTGTGTAAAGTCATATTCGATTACATTGAACGAAAAAATTCATTTTTGTAGGCTTCAAACATTAAACTGGTGAATGACATTTTATTCACTAAAAAGGTGGTCTTTCTGAACAATGATCAAAGTCGTGTAAAGTTAAAGCTAAAGTCTAAAGAAGAAAAAAAAAAAATGAAAAAGCAACTTTTATAAGAATATCTAATAAATAAATTTCTCTCAAAATTTTGTGTGGTCTAATGTGTGGTCTAATGACGTTTGAAAGTTAACTGATAAGTTTTTGACCTGATACATAAACTTCTGGTTGTAGTCAATGCTTTCTGACTTTCTCTGTTTTGTGTTATAATCAATGCTTAGATCTATAATTGAAGCATTCCGAGATCTTATAAAATAGATGTTTATTCACTAAACAAAAAGTAGCACAGATCAACAACTCTGAAGGTTATCTATTAAAAATTATCACAGCTAATATGAGCTGTAACTTATGTTTACCAATCTGAATGACATATATTTAAACATCGAAATTTGGATAACCAAAAAAAGTGTAACTGTAAAAAAACTTAAAAGAATAATGTTACTTTATAAATAATTTAAGGACTGTTTGTTGAGGTTACACTGCAATAGGTGGTAAACAAAACTGAAACTTT